AATACGTTCCGGATCGCGGGTGCATTTTATGTGACGCAATCCAAAGACATGTTTTTAAACGATGTTCACATTCTTTTTAAAAATATAATGATAAAAGAAGTAAAGAGTTAAAACTTGCATATGAGCGCATAATTCTATAAAATCAGATAAACAAGCCGAATATGACAGTTGAGCGACCGTGCTAGAACCACGGAACTCGGGAATGCCTAACACCTTCTCCCGGGTTAACAAAATTCCTTATCCGGATTTCTGGTTCACGGATTGTAATACAGAGTCATTATTTTCCTCGATTCGGGATTAAAATAGGTAACTTGGGACACCCTAAATCTCCCAAGTGGCGACTCTGAAATAAACAAACAAATCCCGTTTCGATTGTCCTTTAATTGGGAAAAACTCCTTGTACCCTCGCGGGGGCGGAAAAAGGAGGTGTGACAATTACAGCCCAAAATGAAGAAAAGAAAGTAAAAATTAGATCAGAAAGCTAAAATCCCAACCAAGGAGAGCCTGATTCAGACTTCTGTCTGAAGTATGAAGTATACCAACTCCAAATATCAAATTCCAAAGCCTTTCTATTATTTGGGATGTGTCAGAGTTCCCTAAGAGTCTCAAGTGGACTCTTTTTTTAGGCAATCTGCTAAGCAAGCGCATAGGGCTAGTTTTTTATATAACAAAATTAAAAAACAAAATACAATGTCATGATATCCTACAAAATCAAAATAAATAAAATTTGAACTTAACAAGTATATTATTATCAAAATTGAGCATTGCACTCACAATTGATATCATATTAATTTAAACTACAAATCTAGGCCGAAGATGTCCTTTACTTCCTTGTATTTCCAGTCCATTGAAGCCTAATTAAAATGTGTACCATGCTGATTGTAAATGTAGCCATAATCTGCGTCAATTTGAATGCATCAACCCATCCCACGCGCATAATCTTTTCCTTTGATCCTCTTCCTGTTGCTGTGCTTAAAATGTGAGCACTGGCCATTGTTTAATCCCTGGCCATTCTTTAATTATAGCTATTGTCGAAAACAGAGCTGGAATTTTCGAAAATTCGAACAGCTGATGGAACACAGAGCTGGAATAGATCAGCTTGCGTTTTTCTGAGCTATTGTTAATTGTTTTATTCATGTTGCTTCCTTGTATTTCCTGTCACAGCTGATTGTTTAATCCACGCCTGCAGTTCACTAGCACGCTCCTACACTGACTTCAGTACCATGATGCCACCAGTTGAAAGCTGCTCCTAGGTTGAAGTATAGAGGTAGTGTAGGTATTTGCTGCAAAACAGTACGCAGTCCAGCAAAACAGTATCCATTCGAGTCCATACGTGATCTGCAGAAAACATGCACTGTCAACCTAGATATGCGTCCTGGTAAAGTGAAGGCGTGCGCTGACTCTTCTGTCTCCATTGCTTGGGGGTTGAAGCATGGTTTAAAAAGCTTCCATCGAAAATATCAATAAACAAATAAAAAATCCTGCTCTCCTTTTGATTCATCCCATTCTCGATTGCGCAGACCATTCCAATTATATTATCCATAGAGATAGGCTGGTATTGTAAAAACAAAAATCATGTGTCCTCCACTTACATCTGAAGCATAAGAATTGTATCCCAAAGTACTTTATTTCGAAATAATCGCATTTTTTTCTGTATCCAAGATAAATTTCCATGTGATACTTTTGGTCTACAGCATGTGGTGTCTTCCATGTGTTCCACAGTAAACCATCTGTGCACATGAAAGGATTTGTAGGAATCAGTATAGCCGACAATGCACAGTTCTTTTTAATAAAAAGACAAAAGACCCGTTCGTTTGTAGCATCCCAAACGTGAGCTTCCAGCTTTTGTCAAAAAGCTGATTTGTTTTTTATTTCCAACACGAATGCTCAATTCTATTTACACTCCTTTGACCAGATCCTATCGAGTGCCCTTCATGTTCCAGCAATAAACAATTAAACACCTGCATTTCCTAGAAATTCCCTAGCGTGTTGGTGCAAATTCCAAACGATTTGGCATATGTTATTGTCCAGAAAGTCACGTGCCCATAATGTTTGCCCATGTTATTTCAGTACTTCCCTTTGATGCGAATGACTGTCATGAAAAGAAAATTGTTAACGTGCCAAAGCCCATGTTTAATGTCCTCCCAATGGATTGAATGCACTGCACTAATACCACCACTTGAGATTCTACTATAAGATTAGGCTTTAGCATTGATGAAATACCTGCAAAAAAGATAAACAGAGTTAGCGTAAAAATTGCTATCCAACTCTCCTCAAGAATGGTTCTAGTTTGATAACAAAATGAGTCCTCTTTTCCTCCTAATTCCTTGCAACCTTCACTCTTATGTAAGGACATAGCTTCTTATCTTCGTTATTAATCCTCCTTCCTTTAGAGTCCATATCCCAAAAATCATGGCATTCGGTATTTCCTTCATCTAGAGCATAATAGGCAAGGTGGTCTGCTAATGTATTCCCTTCTCTGAATATGTGTGTGACATTGATGATACTTTGTTCCTTAAATCTTAAAATCTCCTCTACATGTTCAGTAATATACTAAGGAGGCTTTTATGATTCCTCTATAATGTTCTTTAGTAGCATAGAATTTGTCTGCAGCCATATCTAGAAATAATTAAATCTTTTGCACATCTTCAATGCCTCCGCAATAGCTACTGCTTCTGATACATTGTTGGTTCCTTCAGAAATCTCCCTTCCTTCTGCATATATCAAATCACCTACCTCATCCCTTATGCAGAAACCAATTGAACTCCTCCTTGGGTTCCCTCTACATGCTCCATCCGTATTCACTTTGATCCTCCCTCTTGAAGGAAATTCCCATAATACTTTATCATATTTCAATCGAGGTGTGTATTGCTCCATCATTGTCAGTAAGTCTAGCCACTTGTGAGGCACATGTAGTCCAGGCTTTTTCAGTTGGATCAGAGCTTGCATAGTAGATGACACATAGTAAATAACTCTGCTCACTGACACTGCTTCTCCATATTTCAAGCTATTTCTTCTCTTCCAAAGTTCCCATACAATGCATGCAGGTAAAGCTTGTAATACTGGCTTCAATCTAGGAACTACTGATGTTGTCCAACACTTTGTAATTGCTTGATGTAATGACAACCTATCTAATGCAATTCCTGCTCTCCTCAGGAAGTAGGTCCAAACACTTCTAGCTATATTGGATGTGAAGAACAAATGTAGTAATGACTTCTCCTTAGGATTAGCACATCACCAACATTTTGATGGCATGGAGTATCCTAGTTTACGCAAGAAATCATCAAGTGGCAGTTTGGCTTTCCACACCTTCCACATGAAGAAGGATATCTTGAAAGGTAAACCTTTTACCCATATCATCTTGTAAGCTAATCTTGGGTTGGCTCTTCTTCGCATGTAATCCCATGCAGACTTTACTGTAAAATGTCCTCTTGTTTCAAGCATACAGAAAGGAGTATCTAACTGTAAACTTTTAGTTGGTGGTCTGATATTCTGCATAATGTGGTTTGCCAAATCTTCAGGTAGGCTCTCAAATATTTTATCCACATTCCACATACCATTTTCAACCAGATCATTTACATATAAGGCTCCCAACTCTGCAGGCACTTGAAAATATAAGGCTCCCAACTTAGTCCAATTGTCGAACCAAAATTGAGTCGATCCCATTCTCAGTTTCCAGTAGATTTGATGCTCAATCAAGTCCCTACATTCTAGCATTTTCTCCACACGTGGGACCCATGCTTCCAAGGTACAATTACTGCATTTAGTTTTTTGCAGTACTTTTGACTAATAAATGCACTCCATAAAGTTGGCTTAGTCCTGAAATTCCACCACAATTTGCAGAACAGTGCCTTGGATACGTCATGTAGGGACCTGAACCCTATGCCTCCCTCCTCAAAAGGCATACAAAGGTTAGTCCAAGATGACCAATGTCTAGTGCTCCCTCCTACATTGTTGCTCCAGAAAATCTTGGCAAAACTGCTATGTAATTTGTTGATCACATAAATTGGAGGATTAACTGCTGACAACATATGAATTGGGATACTCTGCAGGACATTTGCAATTAAAATAGCTCTGCCTCCTACAGATAGGAGTTTTCCTTTCCATGACTGAAGTTTATCCATAACCTTGGTGATTAATCCCTGGTAATAGTTTCCCCTTCTTCTTGCATAAAAAATAGGACAGCCAAGATAGGTCATAGGGAAACATTGTCTTCGTATACATGTAATCCTTTCCACCTTGTTAATCACCTCATTTTCCGTTAAATGATGCAGGTATATGGTTGATTTGGATTTGTTCACCAGTTGACCAGATGATGATTCATAAGCTTGCAATACCTCCATGACAAGTCTCAACGAAGTTTCATCAGATGAGCAGAAATTGATTGTATCATCAGCGTATGATATATGATTTATTTTTGGGCTCCATTTTGGCATTCCAAAACCACAGAAATACAGGTTAGTGTGTAGTGAATTCAATCCCCGAGAAAGTGCTTCTGCTACCAGAATGAATAGAGTTGGTGACAAAGGGTCACCCTGTTTAACTCCCCTCGATGATTTGAAGAAACCATTAGGCTGACCATTTATAAGAACAGAGTACCAATTGTTTCCAATCAAATCAAAGATCAAGCCAATAAAAGCTTCAGGAAATCCCATTTTCCTTAGTATTTTGGTCAGGAATATCCATGATAGCCTATCGTAAGCTTTTGTCATATCAAGCTTAATCACAACGTTTGGACCTGCTTTTCTTCTCAACCCGATATCCGTAATGATTTCTTGAGTTAACAACATGTTCTCAACTATGCTTCTGCCCTTCATAAAACCTGCCTGTTCCTCCGAGATTATGTTTGGTAATAATTCAACCAACCTCTCATGAATAACCCTAGAGAAAATCTTGTTAACAAAGTTGCTAAGACTGATTGGTCTCATATCCGCAAAGGTCGTAACTTCTTTTTTCTTTGGTAATAAAACCAGGTTTGTGTGCGTCACACTCTTTGGAAACTATTGACTGCAAAAGAATGCCTTGACCATGCGTACTACATCTTCTTCAATAATTTCCCAGCATGTTTGATAAAAGGCTCCAGTGAAACCATCCGGTCCACCAGCCGAGTCTCCATTCAACCCCATAACTGCTCTCTTCACTTCTTCATTGGAAGGCAAGGCCATCAATCTTTCATGTTGATCATTATCTACCATTGAAGGTACATGATTTAGAATGTCAAAATCATTTGGAACTGCAGTCTCAGTAAATTGATCCTTGTAGAACTTTATTGCTTCTTCTGCTATTAAGTGATCTTCTTCGATCCAGTTACCAAGGCTATTCTAGATCCTTGATAATTTCAGTCTCTTCCTTCTCCCATTAACTTAAGCGTGGAAGAATTTAGTGTTTCTATCGCCATCTTTGAACCATGACATGCCATCTTTTTGTCTCCAGAATTCTTCTTCTAATGCAATATATTTAATCATTTCAGCTTGGACCTGTTTTAATCTTTGTCTGTTCATCTGTGTAGGATTGACTTCAAATTGTCTTTCATGAACCAGGACCACCTCCTCCAGGCTTGCAATCTTCTGGAATATATCCCCATATGTAGCTCTACTCCTGGTAGATAGTACTTGCTTAAGCTTCTTTAACTTGTAGTTAAAAATGCAGAAAGGTTTAGCACTAAAATCAGCATTCTAATTTTCCTTCACTACCTCTTTGAAGGTTTCATGTTTTGTCCAGAAGTTTAGAAATCTGAATGACTTCTTAATTGGAGGAGTTTCTATATCACATTTCAGCAGCATCGGGCAATGATCAGACCCAATTTTGGACAAGTGAGTTACCTCCAATCTAATAAAGGTCTGTTGCAATTCATTATTGCCAAAACATTTGTCCAATCTTTTAAAAATACAGTCCTCCTCTGATCTTCCATTCCACAATGTAAATATGCTTCCTTTAAATCCCAAATCTGTCAAGTTGCAGGTATTGATGTAGTGTCTAAAGTCATCTACTTCAAGGAGAGAAACTGGCAAGCCTCCATACTTCTCTTCCTCTTCCCATATCACATTAAAGTCGCCTCCAACTAGCCATGGTACTGTCATATCTGATGCCATTGCATACAAAGTATCCCATAGTTCAATTCTTTCAATGCGATCACATTTGGCATAAAATAGAGTAAGGATGAGCTCAACATGTGTTTCAGTGTGCATCAATCTCAAAGTCAGCTGTTGAGTCATATTATATAGAATAGTAACCTCAAAATTTTCATCAATAAAAGCCCAAATCTTGTTTGACACATTCACCACAGCCTGTGCCAAACCAATTCTTGCTCTATACCTCTCCATTTTGTGAGACAATTGCATAGGCTCAAGGATTCCTATGAACTCAAAGTGATGTTTTCTGTGCATTGTAATCAGCCTTTGAAATGCTTGCATTTTATTTACTGACCTCACATTCCATATAATGACATCCATTAAAGGTTTTTGGGTTTGGACAGTGTTCTCCTTGTTTGTACCCCTCCTGTTGGGATAGATGGTTCTTTGACTTGTTTGTTTTTTCTCTTTGTTGCAGATTTAACCTGCTAAATGTGCCTAGGTGATAAATCTCCTTGCTTGGCAACATTGAGAAAGTTTTGGGTTGTCGACTCCTCATCCAGGTCCCTGTTTGACTAATTACTTTGGCCTTCAATTTCCTTAGTGTTATCTGTAAACATTAGACCAGATTTTTCCTGTAGGATATTTATCTGTTTGTTACCAGAACTGCTGACATTCTGTTGATGTGCAGGTTTTAATGTAACAGTATCCTACTCTGCAGCTTGTGGATCTGGTTGTTGTTTTGTAGCATTTGCACTAACAATTGGCATCACATTACTACAACTTGGACCTTCTTGTCTTGCTTTGGTCTGCTTAATATCACCAAGTGTTCCTCCTGGATCATCTACATTGCACAACTCTACATTTTTTAGGTTTAGGTCTTGAGCAGCTGCATTCTGTTTTTTAGAAGTTTGCTCTACTTTGCTTTTCTCATTTACACTTGGATCATCTTCATTATTTGCATCCCCTCCTGTCTCATCATCACTTGCCATTCCATCTGGAATTTGACCCTCTCCTAGATCTTCTTCAGTCTGATTTAACCACAACTAGCTTCCTTTCCAATTAATTGTTTCACTTCTTTTAAACATTTCAAAATCTGTGTCTTCCACCTACTCATTGTCATTGCTTGTCTCCTCTTCTTGCCTTTTCACTGGATGCACAGTAGTTACCTTGACTGAATTTTTGGCCATTGTCTCATTTATCCTAGTGTCTTGAGTTGGTATGTCGTTATATGAGGTGTTGGTACCTACAACATTGTTAGCAAAAGCTGTTTGCACCCAAGCTGCTGTTGATTTCTCATTGTCTGCATTGATCTTTGTTATTGGATTCCCATTTGCAGTAGGAATAAATGCTGGAGCTTTGTGGTTCAGTTTATTAGCTTCAGTATTTGATGATTGTCTCATAGCTGAAATAAGAGAAGTTATCTTTTGTACTAGCTGCTTGGTCGATACATGAACTTCCTGCTCCTCTGAATCAATCACCACAATTGCTGTGGAATTATTGTGTTGTACATCACTGTGGCCTATTGTTTTTTGAAATTCCTCCACAACTGCCAGTTGGTTATCTTCATTTAACTCACCGTTTTCAATTTCTAACACTGCAAATTTGTTGGTTGATTGTATTTGTTTTTCTACAGCAGCATTGTTAACATGAACCATTTCTTTCCCTTGTGCAGTATTACCTTCAATTTGTTTGCCTTTGTTTAATCCCCTATTGTCGCGGACTTCCTTCCATTGAGGGCCTATATTACCAACTACCTTGCCACTAGTAAGGACCATCAAAGGAGCATCATGTTTTGCACGTTTTTTGTTTTCTTGTTGCACATTTTCAACATTTTCTTGCTGCTGGACAGTTTTGGTTTCCCTTAGCTCAGGATTAATTCTCCAACATTCCATCCTATCATGTCCTTGTAATTTGCATTCTTTGCAATACTTAGGTAGGTAGTCATAGTTAATGGTTACCATTCAGTTCTTACCTCTCCATTTATCTCACTGAGAATGTCCATTCGAACTTTCTTTGGGAGATCAGCTAGCACGTCCACCAGTACTTTCACACGAGCACAACTAGGTCTTGTTTTCTTTATAGTAGCCAAATCCAATTGAAGGGGTTTACCTACAGCTGAAGCTAAAGATAATAGGCATTCCTTGACAAAGTATGTTGGCAGCAGATTAGGGAATGATATCCAGGCCATAACCTTAGGTGTCTCTTCTCCAACTTTGAATTTTGCATCATAACTCAGTGTTCTCAATTGATATTCATCCCCATGCTTATCCTTAACATAGTACACACCTTTTGACGAGAAATCTACATAATCTTGCCATAGTGTAAATCGTATCAAAATGTGTCTATCACATAGATATCCTATGTTGCATTCAGCATTGATACCACATTGTAATGGTATGATTCGACGTATTTCATTGATGCCTGGCCATCCGTATGAAAATTTGCACACCACTGCCTATTGCAATCCCTCAATGTAGTTCATACATTCTACTTCTGATTCCGTAAAACAGACTGTTGGTTGTCCTTGAAAGTATTGAGCTTGTCTAGGAGCTATTGGATCCACCTGTACTCTTTCCTGCATAGTTGAAGTACTGGCCATGGGTTTGACTGCCTTTGCGTAGTCCATTGGTTTTGGAGCGTTAGCAGACATCGTACATCGCTGTGTGATGTTGTGGGCTGGTTGGGGCTGTGGCCCATCGATTGAAGGTAGCTGGCCACTGGCCATTGTGGACATGGCAGCACTGCTTCAAATAGCAGTGGACTTCCTAGGAAAATCGTGTTTCTTCAAAGATCTTGAAGTAGCATTGATCCACCAATTTAGTACAAAGTATTTCTCTTGCACCAGTTACAATGTATAACTGTCTTTGATGATAAAAGCTGCAGATTCTACCAATTCGATGCTACAGTAGCTTCAAAAAAATTTGTAATACCTGTTGTTGATTTTGGCTTCATATCTGTTAATCACGATTAAAACAAAGGGTCCAAAATTTGTTCTTCAACACTCTTCAGTTACCAGAAATAAGTTGAGTCTGGCAATTCGATGCTACAGTGTTTTTGAGAAGTGATTTAAAAACTGTTGATGATTTTAACCTCAAACCTGATAATTCCAGTTAAAAACAAAGCTTCCAAGTTGATCTTCAAAACTTCAACTTCACTTCAAAAGCATAAACATGAAGGCTTGCAATCGCGATGCTACAGTAACTCGCAAGATAAAATTAAAGATCTGATGCGATTGGTTAAAGTGTTTAGGAAGAAATCAAATGGGGATTGATCACAACGAGAAAGGTGTTCTTTTGGTACTAAGATTGTGATCTTAACTTGCCGGAAACCGAAATTATGGCCGATGAATAGTGACAGAATCACTATTCATGGTCTTCTTCCTCCCTTAGTTTTACTTACTTTAGTTGAGTTCTAGATTCCGTCTCAAGTGAACTCCGGGCAGTGCTTACACCCAAATATATTGCAGAATTGGATTATAGTGTAGTGTGGAAGGGCCAACCCTCAAATGTCCAAGTTCATAGAGAGCTCAAGGTCCCAAAGCAAGGCTCATAGGAAGGGGGCGGAACTTAGAATCTAAGAGAGAGTCCAAGTGCATAGAGGGGATTTTGGGGAAGGCCAAGACAGGCTGGTGGTCATAACAATCAATTAGGAGTGCTGTCACACCCCTAACCAGCCTGTTAGCCATATTGTTTGGGAGTTATGATCCATTAAAGGATCAGGTCTAGACATGAGCAGCAATTTTGATACTGCCATGCCTGAACCTTAACTCAAACACATAGAAGGGAATAAGGGTATGTGGAATTCACACAGCAACAGATGCAAAAAGGACATCATATTCAATACAAAACATAAATAGCAAAGTAGACAAGATTGTTGAAACTGCAAAGCAAACACATAGAGATGAAGCCGAAAGTTAAATTAGAACATACCAGTTTCAGGGAAATAAGAAGAGAAGAGAAGTAGTAAAGCCAAATTGCAAACACACAGCCAGAAGATTTCAGAAGAGAGTAGAGTGTTGATTGAGAGTGTAGGAATATCGAAATTGAAAGTGTTCAATGAGTGTTGTGTAAGTGTTGAACTCAAGGTCTTAAAGAGTATTGAATTGGAAGTCCCTAAAAGTGCAAAAGGGTCGTGCCCTTTATAGTGCAGAAAGCAAGTAAGAAAAGGTAAAAAAATAGTTTCGAAATCAATCGCATAAGGTCTCCCTTCAATTAAGGGATTCTGATTTCAAACGGGCAAGATAATTAAGGAAAGAGTTTGATCAAGATCTTTTCCAAAGTAGCACAAGAAGGGTAAATACACAGAAGTTATTTAAGGAAAGAGTTTGATAGAAACACGATTTGTGCAAATAAGGAAAGGCAATCAATCAACAGCCAGTAAACAAATCAGAAATTGAGTTTTGGTATGAATGAATCCAACCAGAAAAGTTGAAGAAAGGTTTAATTAAAGAAAATCAGTAACAATCAATCGATCCTTATTAAAAGGAATTCTAAATCAATCACAAGTTGACAAAACCTTTTGAAGGAAAAATTCCTCATAAATAAAGCATACAAACATATCAAACAAGAAAGAACTGTCATGCTAAAAAACCTAGTATAGAAGAGTTCCGGGTCAAAGAAATTCGAGTTCAGTACAAAGACTCAAAACGAGTTTGAGAAACCTAGAGTTCCAAAATAGAATTGTAGTCTCAAACACAAGATCAAAACTCGCCAAAAATCCCAAACCCTAGGGTTTTCAACTCTAGTCAGATACAGAGAAAAAAAGACAAATAACGGAAACAGGCTCAAAGGTCTTCTTTCAAGGATTCATGTGAAATCAAACAGATAAAATAGCAGGTTCAAGGCAAATAGAATGAAGAGCTGATTTGAAGCATAGAGAACACATTTTAAGAAAGGCTTGGGACCTAAACAAGTTCAAAAGAGAAAAGAGGTAGTACAAACTTAGGAAAACAGTAGAGGGAACGTGTGTAGAGAGAACTCAAACAAGGTTCAGTAAAAGCAAATAAAAACTTAAGGACTCAGTAGGAGATGCATGCAGTAGAAGAACATAAAATACTGGAAAACGATAGCAAAAGAACATATAGGAAAACACAGCGAGATGAACATGTGAGCATGGTGTAGAAACACAGTAGAACACAAAGCACGGAAGAATCATGTATAGTAGAAAGAAAGTAGAAGAAAAACACATGCGTGGTAGAAAAGAAACATACAGACATAGTATAGACGAATACACATAAAGAAAAGAAAAGG